AAAACAAAACTATAATAAGACATCACCTCATACCAGTCAGAATGGCCATCATCAAAAAATCCACAAATAATAAACGCTGGAGAGAGTGTGGATAAAAAGGAACTATCCTACATTGGGAATGTAAATTGGTGCAGGTGCTATGGAGAACAGTATGGAGGTTCCTTGAAATAAAAATAGAGCTACCATGTGACCCTGTAACTCCACTCCTGAGCATATATCCATAGAAAACCAAGATCCAGAAAGTTACATGCATCCCAGTATTCACTGTAGCACTGTTTACAAAAGCCAAGACATGGAAGCAACCTAAACGTCCATTGGCAGAGGAATGGATAAAGAAGATGTGGGGTATATACATATATAAACACACACACACACACACACACACCCGGGAATATTACTCAGCCATAAAAAGGAAATAATCTCATTCAAAGCAACATGGATGGACCGAGAGATAATCATATTAAGTCAGAGAAAGACAAATATCACAATATCACTTAAGTGTGGAATATCAAAAAATGATACAAATGAACTTAAAAAACAGAAACAGACCCACAGACATAGAACACAAATTTATGGATCCCAAAGGGGAAGTGAAGGGGCAGAAGATAAATTAGGAGTTTGGGTTTAACATATACACAATACTATATACAAAATATGTAAACAAGGACCTATTACATAGCAAAGGTCCTAAACTGTACTTAATATAAAAACCTATAACGGAAAATAATGTGAAAAAAATATATGTATATGTATATATATCTGAATCATTTTGCTGCTCACCTAAAATTAACACATTGTAAATTAAATACATTTCAATTTTAAAAGTTGAGGTTAGAAAAAAGGAAAACTCCTGCTTTATGGTTGCAGGCTTTGATGTTTCCTGAGTCTTCTGAGTTCAGAACTGTTGGAATTGGCAATGGCGAATCCAATGAGGGGAGCTGACGTAGAGAAAACAACTCCTTGCACTTCCCCCTCAAACGGGCATAAAAGGGAACATGTAAATGAAAGACAATATAGAAGTAAATATATTTCAAATAATAAAAATCACTGCAAGATTACTCACTGGTACAAATGAAGGTTTCTATTTCTTTCCCTACACAAAGACTTCATAACATGAGAAAACTATTTCCATTAAAATCCTTTATTACAAAGTGTGGTACTCAGACCGTCAACCACTGGATGAAACGCCAGTAACTGCTGAACAGGGGAAAGAGTCAGAGATGAGAAAGAAAACCTTTTTTTAGAAGGGTTAAAGAAAATTAGCAGAGTTTAAAGAAAATTAGCACACTTGGAAACCACATGAAAGGATGGCCCAGCTCAGGGAAATAATCCAGAGTGAAGGAATACTGAAGCAGGCATTCTGGAAATTCAAGTATGCAAATACCCGATATGCAGAGAAAGCTGCTACAGGCTAAGTCTACACAACAGAGACAAGGAAAAGAATCTTCTTATAGGATAAGTCCAGGAGGAGACAAGGGAGGTGACTGTTTGCTTGGTTAAGAAAGGGGATACTGTTTTAAGAGTCCTGCTAAAAACTGTGGAACAAACAGCAAATGTGAAGGCAAAACACAGGTTGGAAAAAAAGATTAAAGAGAAATTTGGCTTTTCAAAGACTGAAAGAAGCAGTTACGAACAAAAAAGATAGTTTGAATTATTCATAGAAAAATGGGGAGCCACGTTTATCAGTCTGAATTACTTTTAAATGAAAGTCTGATAAAGCTTTGGCCAAGTCTACCTTGATTCTAAATCTCAGGAGAATTTCAGCCTACCATGACACAGACAAGGGAGAAAATCAAGTTATAGAGAAATTTTTCAATAATATGCACAGGGAGACAGACAACTTCCTCTACAAAGAAAAAATATCACTGGAAAAGAACTGTGGATATCCTGTCGTGCTTAATGTAATGCCTCATTTCCTCTACCCGAGGAAACATAATAAAGACCTCCTCTAATAAATACAAACAGTACTTTGTTTAAACTGACACGGCCACAACAGTCAGATAACCTCTTGAAGCTGTCTGAGGGGGAAAAAGCTTGTTTAGCTTTAAGTTCCTGATAGGCAGGGAGTGTATATTCTGTACCTAGGAGATACCCAAATCCAGTTCAACGCTCTGCTCGGCAAATATCTAACCACATACTAACTCAATAAACAGGAATTTTTAACTCTTCTGGACACCACGTCAGACTTACAGAAAAGTTGCAAGAGCAGTACAAAAAAATCCCTGTCTATTTCTAACCCAGATTCCCCAGATGTTAACAGTTTGCCCAGCATCATCTATCTTCTCATCCTTTCTCCTAGCTCCCTAACCACAAAGACCACAGATACTATAAATACATATACTCCTATTTCCTGAAAACAAGACTGTTCTCATAAACACAGTATACCTACCAAAATCAGGACCCTTTTGGCATTTCATCAATGATTCAACTCATGTTCCTCATAGAAAGAAACCCAGCTCATGCGCTATGTTTGGCCGACATGTCTTCCTGTCTCCTTGGTCTAGAGCAGTTCCCTGGTCTTGTCTTTTACCACTTTGACATTTTGAAGAACACAGGGCAATCACTTTGTAGAATGTCCTTCAGTTTTGGTTTGTCCAAGGTTTTCTCAGACTCCCCACGTGGCTCAGTGGTAAAGCATACACCTGCAATGCAAGAGATGCAGGTTCCATCCCTGGGCTGGGAAGATCCCCTAGAGAAGGAAATGGCAACGCACTGCAGTATTTCTGCCTGGAGAATCCCATGGACAGAGGAGCTTGGCAGGCTACAGTCCATGGGGTCGCAGAGGGTCAGGCAAGACTCAGCGACTAAACGCTTTCTCATGGTCAGATTCAGGTTATTCATTGTGTTTTTCTCAGCACACACATCAAGAGATACAAGATGCTGATTTGCTCACTTACTGGTTGTGTTCATTTTGAGCATTTGATTAAGGACATGTCTGCCAGGTTTCTCCACTATAATGTGACCATTTTCCCCTTTATAATTAATAAGGTTCTTAAGGGAAGGGAAGTTAATTTTTCTTTAAATAAAGCAGTACTAGAATGAGAGGCGGAGAAGGCAATGGCATCCCACTCCAGTACTCCTGCCTGGAAAATCCCAGGGACGGAGGAGCCTGGTGGGCTGCAGTCCACGGGGTCGCTAGGAGTCAGACTCGACTGAGCGACTTCATTTTCACTTTTCACTTTCATGCATTGGAGAAGGAAATGGCAACCCACTCCAGTGTTCTTGCCTGGAGATCCCAGGGACGGGGGAGCCTGGTGGGCTTCTGTCTATGGGGTCGCACAGAGTCGGACACGACTGAAGTGACTTAGCAGCAGCAGCAGCAGAATGAGAGGTGTGTTTTAAACACATAAAGAGCAGAAAAACATAAATCAATCAAGAATAATTAAACAATATAGCCTTTAAAAATCAGAATATATTTAAAGCACCATGTGCTAATTTTTTTAACTGCATGATATATGCTATTTTTAATAATGGTCTTAAAATTTCTTTTTCTATAGAGATCAAGTCTGGATGAACGTAATAAATTGGTGATAAGTGGAAAAAAAAGAAAAAATGATTTGTAACAATATATGTGAAAATGTTGAATAGAAGGCTTACTTTGGAATGGCTATAAGCTTTAAAAAAAAAAAGACTGAAAATACACGTTGTACATTTCTGCAGAAAACTATCACACTGTTTCACATGTAAAGGTCAACAGACTGTATTTCGACATGACTGACTCGAATACATTTGGTAATGTAACTGATTAATATAGGTGATTCATATCACCACCATTAGGTAGGGCTTTAAAAATGTATTACAAAAAAAAAAATCTATGACTAGATGTTGTCCTGGACAGTCCTTAAAGAATCACTATTAAAGATTCAATGATTTCAATAAAAATAAATAAGATTCAATGAAATGTTTCCAAATTTGGCTTCTCGTCAATCCTTCTAATGTACTGTTGACATCATTCCTAATGAACCAGTGGACAAAGGGGCACAGATGTAGAGGAAGTAAAATAAAAAATCAAACAAGATAAAATAAAATAATAATAAAATCTCAAACCAGGAAGACCAACATTGAACCTCTAAACTACAGAACTGTAAGATAATTCTGTGTTGTTTTGAGCCGCTAAGCTTGTGATGATGTGTTACAGTAGCCATAAAAAGTCAATAGGATGCTCTTCTACGATGTGCCATTTACTGCGTGTCGTGCATGCTAAGTTGCTTTCGTTGTGTCCAACTCTTTGCGACCTGTGGACCGTAGCCCTGCAGGCTGCTCCGTCTATGGGTTTTCCCAGGCAAGAATAATGGAGTGGATTGCCATTTCCATCTCCAAGGGATCTTCTCGACCCAGGGATCAAACCAGCGCCTCTTATGTCTCTTGCATTGGCAAGCGGGGTTCTTTACCACTAGTGCTATCTGGGAAGCTATTATATATCAGTTACACCTAAATAAGGCTGTTAAAGGAGTTTCCCTGGTGGCTCAGAAGTTAAAGAATACGCCTGCAATGCAGAAGAGTTGGGTTCGATCCCTGGGTCAGGAAGATCCCCTGGAGAAGGGAATGGCTACCCACTCCAGTATTCTTGACTGGAGAATCTCACGGAGAGGAACCTGGCAGGTTACAACCCATGGAGTCACAAAAGTTGGAAACACTTTCAAAGCTGTTAAAAATTTTTATTTTTTTTAGTTAAAAATTTTTTAAAATAAAATTTAAAATATCTTAAAAATAAAATATTTAAACATTTAAAAATAAAATGTTCCCTACCTGAGTTTTGTGAACCCTTGAAGTCAAGAGGATGTTAATCTGGAAGTGGAAAAAGACAAGAGTTGACATAATCTATAAATAAATTCTGGTAAAAACAAACTGCCATCAGGAGAAAAATTTTTATAATATGGCTGTGGAATCACCAAGTGAGTAGCAATTTTCCCCGTCTTAACTAAAGTCACGCACACAATCAGTGAGCTGAACTTGGACTCAAAATAGTTTAATAAGAGGCTAAAAAAGGAAGACACGGGTCTTTATATTTCTTTATTTTTCACATACACTCTAGCTAAAAGAACAAGAGTACACATCAACAAAAAATGGAAACAAAACTTTGACTGAAAGACATCATTCAACACATTACGTAAGCAGCCAAACAAGAAGAAAGTCAGCTTTGTAAACTTTTATTTCATTTGATTCAGAGACTCGGAATGAGCTTTGAAAGTAACAAGAACATAAAGTTTGATATCTTTTACTGCGAGAAAACATTAAAATCTTTCTCAAGGAAAATTATTGTTTTTAAAAGTGACACAGTAGAAAAATCTGGAAAAAATCAAGAAGGTTGAATTCTGGACTACTTGGAATGACATTCTTTTGAACACACTTACAAACTGTTTTGTGTTCCTGGGATGAAAAAAGACTGTCATGGCTCCAACAACAGTAAACTGATGTTTCTTGGTATAAGAGTCAGCCTCTAGACCTTTAAAAACATATGCTTTCTTTGAGGGAATTCCAATGTCTTGTAGCTTTTTTACATTCTGAACAATTAAATGGACTCAGGTCATAAATGATGAAATTAGTAATAACACTGAGGTAAGTAGCCTGAAAGCATGTGCAGTGTATGTACATATTCAATATAAAAATCCTTTATACATATAGTTTATCTGGCATTCAGCTTTTCAAGATTCAGTGTCATGTGCCATCGTGGTACACTGCAAATGATACTTTCAAGTCAATGATTTCTTTCGGCTGCAGTAAAGAAGATATGGCAAGAAAAATGCCGCAGTGCCATCTTCTGGGAGGACGTTTAAGAAATCCCTTAGTTCTAGTTCCACAGCAACAACTGACAGTGTTTCTGTTTGTAAGAAAGAATATCTGAGTTAGAACTGAGATTCTGCCTTTCACCCAATTCTCTTATCATTCAACCAATGAGAAGCTAATTCAGGTGACAAAATGTTATAACTATGATAAGAGAGAGGAAAAAAAAACAGTCTTTTAAATCTAAAAATGCTTTACAGTTCTAACAATTTATTCTCTCTAGAATCATTTGTAGGAAAATATAATCAACTGAACACTATTTTTAATGTTAAGACTAGCAGCTCCTTTGTAGACACTCTGTGTGGCGCTAGTGGTAAAGAACCTATCTGCCAATGCAGGAGACGCAAGGGACACGGGTTCGATCCCTGGGTGGGGAAGATCCGCTGGAGTAGGAAATGGCAACCCACCACAGTATTCTTGCCTGGGAAATTCCATGGACAGAGGAGCCTGGTGGGCTACAGTCCATGAGGTCACAAAGAGTCAGACACGACTGAGCGTGCATGTGCGCACACGCATGCACACACACACACACAGGGCATCCCCTGTTAGATCAAAGAGAGTGAAAGTCAAGTCGCTCAGTCATGTCCACCTGTTTATGATCCCCTGGACTGTAGCCTGCCCGGCTCCTCCCTCCATGGGGTTTTCCAGGCAAGAGCACTGGAGGGGGTTGTACTCCCATTTCCTTCTCCAGGGGCCTGTCCCCACCCAGGGATCGAACCCAGGTCTCCCGTGCCAGGTAGGCACTTTACCAGCTGAGCCACGTGGGAAGCCCTGTTAGATGCCATTTTCCTAAGTCCGTTCCTCTCTATTGTGATTTTCATGCTAATAAGCATAAATCTGTTTTGAAGACCATTTCCTTTTTTTCTCAAACTGCAGACTGTGTTCTAGTGAATATTGACTATCAAGGGAATCAGTAAGCATGTTTATAAAGGTGACTAGTTTTTTGACTTTGCTTCTCGACACACGCGGCCCTCCGCTGGGAAGGAAAGGGAATGACATCTAAGAACAAGGTCAAACCTGCCGCAGTGCCATTCTCTGCTCGCTTCTTACACGCCTGCCACTCACCCTATTTGCAGAGTAACTGAAATAAAAAATTCTTGCTCAGGTATGTGTGCGTCCATCCAACGCCAGCTGTCTAAAATACACAATCTAAATCACCCCTTACACAGGGAACGACATGCTCTTGCTGCTAAAAAGCTAGTGAACAGTATGACAGGAACATATCCCTGGCTCTGGAATCAAGATAGACTTGGGCAGGCATCACTCATCGACTGACGCTCTGGGTGACTTTGAGAAAGTCAAACTCCTGAGTCTCAGATTCCTCATCTATCATGTAGCGGTACCACCTACCAGCTTCCAGAGTCCTTGGAGAATTATTTAAAAGACAATGATGCAATCTGACATAGGGACATAAAACGGAATCTATTAATAAACAATAACTACTAACTAACTCGCAAAACTCATGAAAATTATTAATTAATGATAATAATTTAATATTTAATAATAATAATTTAATAATAACTAAATTAATAATTTAATAATAACTATTAAACTCATTTATTTGGTCTAAATGTGGAACCTGTAGGAATAACCTAGATACAAAAAGCTGATTTGGGAACCGTTGTAATTATAGACAACAAAAATCTTGCCTCTGCCCTATTCTCCTCTTCTGCCAATTAGTGAGGGGCTTATACAGGTTACAAGAACAAGGTCAATATCACAAATCCGTAGAGTACTTTGAATCCTCCAGTGTGTCTAGCAAATATGTGTTGAATGTTGAAAATGGTTATCTCTGGCTAGTAGACTTTAAAATGGCTTTTTAGACTTCATAGTTTACTACAGTGCTAGAACTTTTACTAAGAAGCGCACTTCACTGACTCAAAAAGAGTAACGTGTTTCCTTGAAACACATTAAGCCAACCACCAACACAAGTTTAAGGCAAAGGGTCCCAAAAAACAAAAGGGTGCCCCAACCCCACCCCCACCCCAGGGACATCTGGTGACGGCTGGAGACATGTCTATTTTACCTGGGCAAGTGTTACGGGTATTTAGTGCGTAGAGGCCAGGGATGCTGGTAACATCCTAAAATGCACGGGAGACACCTACACACAAATTATCTGGTCCCAGATGTCAGTACTGACAAGGCTGAGAAATGCTGCATTAGAAAGTAAGAAATCTAAGCTCCTAAGTACATTGGTGGTGGGTTATTATATTAAACTTTATATATCTATATTATTATATTTATATTAAATCTTATTATATTAATAATGGCATATTATTAATATATAAATCCCTGATCTCCATCTCAGCCTTACCATCTTGCAATTTTTGCCTAGCATTTTATTCCACAGTCAGTCCTGAACTCCTCATGAGTCCCAGGCACTTGAAAAACTGGCTTGCTTCAGGTTTACTCAGTAGGTAGAAGGCATGGAACTCACCTCCAATTCTAACTCCAAGCCTGGTCTCTTCTGGATATACCACTGGTGCCAACATAAAGACAACCGCTCCCCCCCCCCCTCCCGCCCATAAAAACGGACTTGGTGTCTTCCCTTCAAATCAGTAACTAGTTATAGACTCTTCCTACGGAGAAGCACATCGCTGGCAAGGAAAGTGTGAAATAAAAGATGTTAAAACATGATGCCAGCTCTGAAGGTATTATAATCTGATAAAGGTAAATCGCACACAGCACTAGTTCTGTGAGCCACACACACACTATATGCACGTGTGTGTGAACACACACATATTTAAGATACAGAAAAGTGGACACGTGGAGGAATGATTATGGGTAAGTTACAGGTAGAGAGTCTGTGAATGTGGATCAGAAAAGGAAGAAGGAAGAGTCTTGCCTAAGATAATGACACTACTGGGGTGTGAAGATGTGAGGTATCTGATCCAGAAAGAGATCCACTGACAAGAATAATCAGCTGAAAATTATGGGATAAATTTGATGCAGACGGGACTGGGCGATCAAACACCAGACACTGCTGCCTTCTGAAAATGAGACTATCACCCAGAGAGATGGGTAGGACAGGTGGCATGAACATTCCTCCTTGTCTTCCCAGTCACAGACACACATCTTTACTTAAATGCGGATCTCCAGAAAAATACACCATCCAGTGGCCACTAGCTTTGCCTAACACTTTGAAAGTCAGTGACTTCAGGTGGAAAACACAATTCCCACACTGTCAACTTCTAATATTTTAGGCACATTGATATCAATAGAACCATACCTTTGTCATCAAGCCAACCATTAACAAGTGATATTAACACACAAGAAACGAGAAACAAGACCATATAGCTATCAATATTTATAAATGACTGTAAATTATAAAAATTCAAACAGTAACTACCTTTGCTATAAAATACTGTGTAATTTAGAGATACTAAGCTTCTAAATCTTTGAGAAACTTATTATTCCTCAGTACTTGCTTATAATTATGACTAATAATAATAAATAATCTTAATTTCCTACATGAAGTAAATTAAGCACCCAGACCATTAATACAAAATGGACTTGTCTTAATGGCTATTCCAATTTTTAAAATACTGAGGCTGCGAGTTTCTCTATGATAATCTGTTAAGTCTTTGAAAAAATTAACTTAGAGGAATCAGCTCTAGAGCTAAAAGAGATAAATGAATATCAAATGTGGTGAGAGGGAGTGTATGAATGTTAAAGGTTAAGCTCTCCAGGTGATTCTCAGACCCTCAAGCTCAGACCCTCTTCACCATACTTGAGAATCACATGAAATACACGAGAAAGCAAGGTTTCAGCAAATTATGTAAATGAAGACTCTCAAATTTATAATTAAGCAAAAAAGATTATTTTACCTTTTAGTGATGATAAGTAAAGTTGATATTTCTCTCCACCACATTTTATTCTCTGACAAAGTTCAGGCAGCAGTTTTTTCCACCACAAAGTCTATCTTGGGAAAAAATGAGTACTTTTTAAGTTTGATGCATTTTACACTCAGATTTACAACAAGAAGAAAAAGACTGTGCAAGGAAGGACAGGGCAAAAATACATCAACTTGGTTAAGGCAAAGACTTTGAACAGTCTTCTGCTTAAACTATAAGTCAGATTTTTACCATGAAAATCTTAACAATATGTACACTGTACATACATATATACACTGTACATATATATGTACACCACTATTTTCAAGAAGAAACATAGACGTGTCTTGTTTTCATCTCTTAGGTAGCAAGAAAGAAGGAAGGAACAAAAGAAAAAGTTTTAAAATCAAAAACTCTTCTAATCTCTAAAGACCAGATAACCCACAAAGGATTTTCTCATCATTTATTATGTTTTCACAATCTTCAGATAATAGCGGACTTCTCCGAACAAGAGATTTTTAGTGAAAATAACATACCACCACAATACATGTTAACAGCCTCTGATAGTACTCAAAACACATAACATATTAAACATACATGCTCTTTTGAGCCACATAGTCCTGTGAGGTTGGACTGGCATCATCTGTCCCTATTTTGTAGACAAGGCAACAAAATGATCATGTGATTATCACAGATAAAGACTAGAAAGCATAACCTGAGACGCATACCCGATTCTCCTCCTTCAGTTCGTGGTTAGCGTACGGGATGACTGCCTCCGGGCACCTCTCTAACAGACTGTCTATGCACTGCTCATACGCTCTCAGACGCGTATGACACAGGACATGGACACTGAGGCCTGCAGCAGTCTCCTCTGAGAGTGGCTCCAAGAATGGGATGATGGAAGCTATGTCAAATGAAGGACCACATATGAGAGACTATGAACAGAAAAGTGAAATGTTATGGAATGAGGCACCCAAAACACTGAAGCACAACATACCAGAAACAATTTTTTAAAAAGACTAAATCTCACTTGTCAAAAAAAGAAAAAAAAAAATGCAATTTTAGAGCACATGCCTGCTTGCTTTGATTGGACTGCATACTTAAATGAATGGGAAAGCTTTAAGACTTTGTCCCAAGGACATAATCAACATGGTGGTCAAGATTTATGTCCAAGATGTTCAACTCAAGAATATCCATAATATTGAAAAACTAGAAGAAATCTAAACATTCATCAAGAAGTGATGAGTAAATAAATTATGGTACATTCAAATGATGGAAAATTTTGTAGCTATCAAAATTGTTTCCAAAGGCAGTTAAGGACAAATGCTGCTCATGATCAAATCAGTTAAAAAAAAAAATAATACAAAATTATATTCAAAGCATGATCAATTCTGTAAAATCTACATAGGTACATGCCTTTGGAAGAGCATCGAAATTTGAAATAGAAACCAGTTCACCGTATAGAAGGGCAAAGCCCACTTTTGGTTTTTTTTTTTCACACTTTTTCCAAGGTTTCTATAATACGCATGCACTATACATAAACCAAAAATAAAACCTAACATTTAAGAAAACTAAACAAGCCAAGAACTAATAATTTGTATCAATACTATTTGCTGCAACCTAAATGACAGAGCAGTTGTTATTTCAGTATTCAGAACGTGACCAACATTTCACTTCTAAGCATTTAAACTACTAATATTAATACTACTTTTGATTATAACACCAAAATAAGCTCTGCTTCCCCTTTCTTCTGGATAAAAATGAAATGGTCATATCCTGATTTTCTTCTTCTTTTATTCTTTTTACCACAGCATCTTCTCAGACTCACAGGATAATGTGGAACATGAACTATCTATTTACAGTCAGCATTATGATTTTACTCCAAACATCTACCAAAGAACGGTTAGGAGAATAAGGTTGGTCTGTTTCCTTCCTGCAACATTCACTTTCATCTGAATAATTTTCTGACAGTAACACAGCAAGTATGAAATAAGATGATTAAAATGAGATGAGTCAAAGCTTGGTACAAAATGGGTTACCCTGGAACTTTTAGATAGTTGAATCCATATCATCAAGAGGTTTAAAAATAAGAAACACCAGACACGGAATTCCCTGGACGTCTAGTGGTGCGTCCACTGCAGGGAGCACAGGTTCCAATTCCTGGGTGGGGAATTAAGATTCCACAACTGCAAGATGTGGCCAAAAATCAAAAAACCACCAGACAACCAGACATGCATCACTGGATGAAAAACGGCCCACGGGTTACTGCTACTCTTTAAAATACTCGATGTCTGCTTCTCACCAGTGTGTTCCTCCCCCCCACCCCCCAATATTGGAAATGGACTCTCCACCCTCAACACAGGCGCTATTTATTCCCTTTTCTGATCTCCTTGGGACTGGAATTCACAGAATTCTCTACACAATCACACCCGTGGCTCTAAGAGGGGGGAATGGCAACAAAGTGGAGGGGAGGGGACCGGGACAATGCTGGTAAAAGGCAGGCATTACGAGCTACTGTGTTCTCAATATAGCAGTGCTTTTTTTTTGGACACATAGAGGATTTGCAGATTGTTTTTAGTTAATTTTTGCACAAATATACTATTACAACGTCTCTGAGGACAAGAGACAGAGACACATTAAATCTTGTGTGCTGGTGAGTAGAGGGAAGTCACATAATTTTGAAAAAACCAGGTGATTCTGAACCTCCTCATTCCGAGGAAAAAAGAGATGAGATCTTTTTGTTTCTTGATAGTTCTTTTTTTTCTAAATGACAAGATTGATTGATTGACCCCAGATAATTTTAAAAAGAGTTAGAGTTAGGAAAAGGATGTAGAAAAATTTAGGCTAACTGAACCTTCTATCCCATATCAATAAAGACTCCCTTTTAAATACTTTAAAATGGATTCTAAAGGTCAATGAATTGTACTTTTTCAAGCAGAGATTTTTAAGTATGCTTTGAAGCTTTATAGGGGATACTTAATAGCACATATTATGACTTTAAATATATAATTAACACATATATTCTAGGAGGGCAAGGTTGTGCCTGCCTCATTCAATGCTATACATCAATCACATTTATAGTTTATGATCAAGGAATATTTGTGGAATGAACCCATCTGAGATTTAGCCCTCAGCAGCCTCTGTATCATAAGGGTACTAGAGGTAAGAACCTGCCAGAATTTTCTTTGGCAATTTTTTTTAAAAAATGTAAGTAATTCTCTATCTGGAGACATCATAGGCTGTCTAGAGGCTAAGACTAAGCAATACCGTCTCCAGAGTTTCCCTTCCTTACCTCCACTCCCAATTTGACATTTTGGTTTCTAAAAGCTTGTAACTACATTTACATCAAGTTCCCAGCATAAATCAGGGGCTGCAAAAAGCCTAACGAGGCCAAACCAAATGACGAAAATGTACAGATGCAGCTGGGCATAAGGAAAACAGATGCCAGACATTCCACCTCTGGACCAGGCAGACGGGAGAGGAGCGTGGCAGATAGGACCGCATGAGCCCTGCATAAGCGGGGAATCCACTGGGGGGTCCACCCCCAGGTCTCAGGCAGGGAGGGCCCAGGGTTACAGCGGAACCAAAGTTCCGTTGAGTTTTTCAAAGAGAAACTTGAAACTCAAAACTTCTTCATTTGAAATGTCAACTTTCACGTGTTAGCAGTTACTCTGCACAGACCAAACACAACAGATATGAGCATCATAGTCAGCCCGCAGGCCACCGACTCCATCAAATAAAACCACATTCCCATGCAGCCCAGCCCTGCCTACCAAGTCAAATGCGCACTTCATTTCTCACTTTCAGTCAAAACACTGTCAAGGTCAGAATTCTTGCAGGATGGGCTACATTCTCTTGATCATATTTCTTACTTAAAAAAAAAAATCTGGGGCACATGTGTGCCCGTGGCTGATCCATGTCGATGTGGGGCAGAGACCACCACAGGATTGTGAAGTGACTGTCCTCCAATTAAAATAAATAAATTTTTTTAAAAATCTGGGACTTCCTTGGTGGCCCAGTGGCTAAGCCCCAAGCTCCTGGCGCAGGGGCCTGAGTCCGACCCCTGGTTAGGGACCTAGATCCCAAACGCCCCAAGGAAGACTGAAGACGCCACGTGCTGCAACTGAGACCCACGTAGCCCAATACATAAATTAATAAATATTTGGGGGAAAAAGATCCTTTAAGGAACCAGATAAGCTGGCCATTTTAACCTATTTCCTATAAGACAGATAGGAGCACTTGGCTTGGGCTAGAGGCCTAAACTGTATGTGAAAGTGAAGTCGCTCAGTCGGGTCCGACCCTTTGCGACCCCATGGACTGTAGCCCACCAGGCCCTCCGCCCATGGGACTCTCCAGGCAAGAATACTGGAGTGGCTTGCCATTTCCTTCTCCAGGGGATCTCCAGACCCAGGGATCGAACCCAGGTCTCCCGCATTGTAGAGCAGACACTTTAACCTCTGAGCCACCAGGGAGTGAACGCTAAAATTTTAAAAATTAATTAATTACATTAAAAAAAAGTGGATCACAGTGAAAACACCATGAAGCATTTGCTGTACTTTCACTTCACAAAGCATTTTCAAACACATTCTGAAAACGAGGCAAGACTGTCACAGGACTTGGTTAAGCTCACTCGCCCACCCACCAGCAACAAAACCAGCCTTCCCGTCAGCAGTTTCAGGCAGAAATAGCAGGAATTCCCTGCAGACCTGCTGAGGAGGCCTCATATAGATCCTGTCGCCCAAATTATACACTCTCAGTTAACCGGACAACCAGAAGCTTACCAAATTTAAGTCCTATACTATAATACACAAATTCATAAGAAAAAGAGGCATCTTTATTTACCTGTAATTTTGAAAGGTCTTCCATATAATTTTTGTCGACTGAGGATTCGGATGAAATTAAGATATTAACCCATGGATTGATTAAGCCATAATGACTACAGGTGTTTATCTAAAATGTAAAAGAAATTTATTGTAAAAAAAGTACAATACAACAAGGTTTTCTTCATCCATCCCATAAAAAGCAAGCAGTCTCCAACCTTCTGCTGTGTCCCAAAATTAGTTATACATTTTCTTGGGAATGGGAAGAAAGTCTCAGAATGTATTCTCCTGGAAAATGTTTCAGCCTTGCTGCTTCTTACTGAACAAATCTTTACTGAATATTTCCTAATATTTTAACTTTCAAAAGGGTGCAAAGAGGCAGTTTCTAACAAAAAGGGTAATACTTCTTTTAAGCTAATTACATTAAAAAAAAGTTAATAAGGGACTGCCAAGGTGGTCCAGTGGTTAAGACTCCGTGCTTCCACTGCAGGGGGCACGGGTTCAATCCATGATCAGGCAAGTTCTGCATGCCATGCAGCGTGGCCAAAAAAAAAAAGTTTTTAACAGTAACATTGAAAATGATTTTTATTTCTACTACTTTCCTTGGGAGGCAAAACCTCTTCCATAAGTTCTGAAGAGAATTCCCTTGAAGACTCCCTTATTCAAGAAAATCCGCATCAGCCTTGCATCCGTAAGGGGTGAGGGGGCTCCCTGGGCGAGGAGAACAGGGAGCCTAACAACTGAGCTGTCAGAGCGGCCCAGGCTGCCCAAGAGCTCCGGACTGTGCAGCCGACAGGAAGCGGAAGTCCGGGGAGGAAGTCCCCCCGACAGGCCTCCTGCAGGTCCTCCCCCAGCAGCGGGGTCCGCAGGTGTCTCCTCTCATGGTCTACTTCATGACCGTCACCTAAGGGGGTGCAGATGGGTTTGGGGGAAAGCCCTATTCTCCACACTTCGGCCACTGAGGTGCCACTACAAGGAAGTAATAAAGGAGTGGCAGGAGGCGTGCTTTAGAATATAGAATTTCAAATGCGGATGTCACGCACAGGCAAGTTATAGGTGTGTTTTTAACTCCTGCTTAAAGAAAGAATCTGGTAGGACTTCCCTGGTGGTACAGTGGATAAGGATCAGCCTGCCAATGCAGCGGACACTGGCTCAAGCCCTGGTCCAGGAAGACTCCACATATCGTGGAGCAGCTGAGTCCACAACCCGCAACGACTGAGCCTGTGCTCCAGGGCACGTGCCCCACGAGAGATGCCGCTGCAGTGAGATCCCCCTGTGCTGAGACAAGAAAGCAGCCCCTGCTTTCCGCAGTTAGAGCAACCAGCACACAGCAGTGACGATCCAGTGCAGCCAAAACTAAAATTAAATAAATAATAAAGTGCAAAAGTCTGGTAACACTACGTTTGATGTTATACTGCTAAAAATAAGCGTCATTATCATAATGTACATAAAGTTTGATTCACTGTACTTTTCCATTATCTTACCAGGTCCTCTGATGTTCTCAATGGGGTGGTGTCAGGAGGCTGCCTCTTCGATAGTCTCCAGATGTACTGTGATGTGAGCTTGAAAAAAAGTTCCTGAAGCACCACATCTGGGAGACAGGCTACCAGCTGAGCTTCCCAGAAGTCCACTAAGAGCTGAGGGATCCTGTCTCCGTCTTTTCCACAAAGCACCTTGAGAACAGTGAAACAAACCCCTACGGCTCAGATAAACATAGTACTGATAAGTCACAGCGGTCTGCACAGCACTCCATCATGTGGGCCATGTGCTCACCAATTTACCCCACTAGCGTTAGTGCCACAGAAAAAGCTAATGTAAACATTTCAACATACTCCAGGTTGCATATTTTTCAAGAAACATTTTTTTAACCTGCACATTTTTAAGTGATTATGTGTTAGTCTTATATTTCAATAAACAAATGAAAACTTGCTTCTCTTATTCTACTCCTCACTTCCCACCAACTTCATCAGGCCACCCAAAATAACATGTTTAAAGTGACAAACCTTAAAGAAGGCATCTGCTTCTTCAATTCCAATTTTGTTGTTCTTCTGTAAGGCCAGGACTGAAGCCACAAGCAATCCAGGTTGAGTCTCCTTCAAATGAACCGCAAACTCCGTTGGAACAACCTGTCCTTTCCTCTGCTGAATCAACAGCCGAGGTTCCAGAATGAAGCCACATACCAACTTCATCTTCAGATTAAAAAAACAAAATTTAAGAACAGAATATATATTGCATTCATCTTGGAAATACATGGTACTGCATTCAAGAGTCACTGATAAGCCATTAACAATTTATTGTAATCTCAATTTTTAATTACAAAGACAATTCTAAGGACATCATTAATAACTGTCTTCCTAGAAGCTATTATTACATAGTTAAGCATCAAAGTGTCATATATTATAGACAGCTTTAAATTTAGGTCTATCTAGGATTCTTCAAAATTATGAAAATTCATCTTCCTAGAACTCTACCCTTCAAAGTAGAGGACGTCTCAGTGTTGACTTGCTCTCCTCGCCATGACAAAATGTGCCATTTGAACAGCAATAAAGAACGCCTGCTCTTCTTGGTCACACCTGAGAGATAAGTACTCACTAATGCCACGTCTGCATCTCTTCCTGGACTGATTAACCTCTTCGGCCCATGTCCCTCCATGCCCACTCTTCCAGGGGGAAGCCAGCTCTCCGATACACCATTCAAATGCCCAGTCTTTCACAGTCATTTGTGATCTTCCCAAGGGCGGGCTATTTCTGCAACTGCCGGGAGCCTAAGGCTCAAGGTTAACATCCCACTTGCTGTACTTGAATATACATCACGGTTCTGTTTTTAGGGACACACCCCACACCTCCTCAAGCCAGGTCACACTGTCAGCTTCGGGCAGAGCCTATGCACTCTTCAGTACCAAGCACTGTGCTCTGCATGTATCTGACACTAGGTTGAAAAGTCTTTGGATAACCCTAGGTACCATTTATCATTTATTATTCTTTTTCATTTCCAAATCCAAAGCCCAGCACTCCCACTTTGGGCCACTTCCTTTTAATATAATAGTAAGTCGATTCTCCTTTACCACTAAGGAAAAATGAGCCACACAGAAGCTAGAAAAAAGCTAAACACCTCGAGACCACCGGGTCCTACATTAGCTGGCTGTTAATACTAGGTACGGCACCATACCTCTGAGCGGCTTTTCATTTCATTCCTGTGCATGTCAAGATCTCCCATTTTCAAAGCCATTGCTGCCTTGGCCAATGTCACTAAAACGGATGAAAATCCAGAAGTATCCAGCTTCCTTAAATATCTGAGGGCAGTTGAAGGATCAATATTCTTCATAGAAGGACTACAGAGAATATGCGGCAGTTGCTTTGGCTCAGCCACATAAAACATCTGAACTACTTTTGCTGACATTTCCTTTGGTTGAACGAGAAATAAAAGGTCAGTCAGCCAATAGAAAGCAACAAAATCAGCAAAAAAAAAAAAAAAAAAGGATAAAAAAGCAAGATACAACATTCCAATTAATATAAAATGTACTATGTTTTGATTTAAAAAGAGAGTTGATGATGATAGCCTGGGAGATCTGAGGTGACCTAAAGTGATCTCTTTGTACCAGGTTGTGGCCAGTATTTCTAATACTAACAGGTGCTCAGAAGGAGAAAACAAATACTGGATTAAATTCCACTCAAAAGTCTGTTATAAAAAATTACTACTTAGTACAAAATATACTTATATTTAATATACAAAATATACTTACTACTTATAGGAGAAAATTTCATTTCTCTTAAAACCTTAAAACATTTGGAATCACAATACCCAACTCTGCATATTTGCATTCAACTCTTTAAAAGTACACGAAGGGGAGGACTTCCCTGGTGGTACAGCAGACAAGAATCCACCTGCCAACTCAGAAGCCACAGGTTCAACCCCTGGTCTGGGAAGACCCCACATGCTGCGGAGCAACGAAAAGCCCGTGCACCACAACTCCTGAGGCCCGCGCTCCGGAGCCCAAGAGCTGCAACTCCTGGAGCCCAGGCACCCAGGAGAAACCACGAGAAGCCACGTACCACCGCAAAGCACAGCCTCCGCACAGCGCAGCGAGAGAAAGCCTCAACAGGGACGAAGACCCAGACCAACCGAAAGGTAAAGAAATACAGGAGGGGCTAAAAGCAATCCTCAGAGATGTCTGAAGGCCACTGGGCCAGGACTTTATAAAACAGCTTCAGACACCTGGAGAGAGGGGCAACGAGGGTTTTGAAAAGGGCTGCGGATGAGAAGGCGGGCAAGGCCCGGGCTCTCCGCCATTCTTCTAGAGACATGCCACCGTCACACACGCAGTGGACCACACCTCCACCACAGTGGACCACGTCTCCCTGTCTATGCGGCCAGAAAGTATGAGAAGGTGATTCTAAGTTCTTTTTCCAGCTGTTATCCTATGAGTATTATTAATGAAGAAAAGTGCACCCTAGTTACTTTTAGGAAAAAAAAAAAAAAGACTATACTATGAATGAAAAGACTTCACTTTTTAAACAGAAGTGCATAAACAGCTAAAGTGAAAAGTTAAAAATATTAGATCAAACTAAGCAGGAAGCTGTATTCACTTCACTTAATTCTTCATCCAGGTTTTCAGAGAGTGAATGATTAATGTAGAAGATTAATCCCCGCTCGTATTTCTGTGATCCATCGTCTACTGCCCAGTCCACCCGGGCCAAAACTTCCGCCATAGACAAACCAGACATCTTATAGTATGGCAAGGCGAGGTGGGAATGCTGGGTTTCAAGCCTAAAGGGAAGGAAGTGGGGAAAAAAAAAACCCTCAGATTTGTCAATTTTAAGTTTGGATGTCTAACACATTTGATAATAAACGAGATTATGCTTTCCAGAAGACACAAATACTTTTCTGTGGCCAGCAGGAGCGGGAACAGATTCCTAAGTTTTGTTCTGCAAAGTCATTCTAATTAATGTAGCTTCTTTTTGCTTGCTCATAATAAAATCAGAGGAAGAAGTGAATTTTAATATTCATAATGCGGCTCTATAATAATGGTGTTTATAAGCAGGAAAGTCTCAGTTGCTCAGTCATGTCCAACTCTGTGCGACATCATGGACTGCAGCCCACCAGGCTCCTCTGTCCAAAAAATTCTCCAGGCAAGGATACTGGAGTGGGTAGCCATTCCCTTCTCCAGGGCATCTTCCTGACCCAGGGATTGAACCTGGGTCTCCTACACTGCAGGCAGATTCTTTACCCTCTGAGCCCCCAGGGGAAGACCCTAAGTAGGAAAAGCATTTCATTAATTTATAACGACTCCATGGTTCAAGTAAGCCTTTGAAACAGTTATATTAAAAAAAAATTGTAAAGATCATTCTCAAAAATAGAAATCATTAGTCTTCCCAGTGTCCTTTTCTGACATTATAAAACCATTGATTACTAAGATTAAAATCACAGACTGTCCAACTGGGATCTCTCCCTTAAAGCTAAGAGGCAATAGATGAGTAATACAGTTGTCTCAGGTATTTTCACTGGTCATGCCCCACCACCACCCAAAGGCCTGAAAAGAAACTTCAAATTTCTAAATTAACTGATGGGAGACACAAACACTGCTCATCTAATAAACTGTAAGTCCTTGAGTGGGAACAGGTCATGCTCATCTCTCTAAGCTTAGCACAGTACCTGGCACACAGGATGTGCTCAGCAAGTTCTGCGGAATAAACGAATAAACACATCACAGCCCCTCATGTGTCCTCCCATCTGTCAGGTAGCTGCCGGAGGTGGAAGAGTTGGTAAGTTACACCTGAAGCTCAGGTGGCTTCCCTAACGAGCTTCCAAGCAGCATCACCAACCTGCTGTAGCAGTCGCCAAGGTGCCCACAGCTTTCTTTAAACGCCTCTAAAAGCTCTGCCTCTTCTCCGGGCTCCAGCTGACTGGCGTCCATCAGGGCTGCTCTCACTAACAGGTGAGCCTCGCTGAGCAGGTGGATGCAGCTCTGGGTTTTTGCAGTCTTATAGGCGTTACTGTAGTCTACCTAACACACAGGGGAGGCAAGCCGTTTACGATGCTGAAGACATCGCCCCAGGGTCTCCCAGGCCTGTAAGTTGTTTATAAAGTTACTATCTGAACACGTTAAATCCTAAGAAATAAAAAGGGGTAATTTATCATCTGATAAGGCTTAGCTAAAGTGGCTTTCTTTTCCCCCACAATCTATGAGCCAGTTTATCACATGCATGACTGTAAATACTCTCCTGTTAAACAACGCTAGTCATCAGAGAAAGCACAATCAGTACTATAATACTAATGACACTGTTAACTCAGCAATAATTTGATCACTTGATACAGCTAATGAACATATCTGAAAGACTTAACTATGTTTAAAGTTCTAAGATTTAAATCTTTCTCAAACTCAGATTGAGCATCCTTCCTTTATCTTAGTTTCAATTGGTGAACTTAGATTCTGCTACAGCTATTTCTATAACTCATAGTGGCTTTATAAAAACTTTCACTAGCTCATCTGAATCAATCAGTATTTTTAGACTCCAACAGGCAAATCATCTGGATGATGTCTAAGACTTGCAATTAAATAAGACTGAAAACACAGGACAAAGCTGATAAAATTATCAGCACTAAAGTGCCAGGGACAAATCAGGCCAAGCCTTCACCTGATGACCAAGTGAACACTACCAGTGACGGACAAAGGAATATCCTGCACCTCTCCATGTGAAACTGAGAAAGACACAACGTCACCTACAGAGAGTTCTGGCCCAACTCTTTGTGACCCACTGGACTGCAGCCCGCCTGGCTCCTCTATCCATGGAACTCTCCAGGCAAGAGTACTGGAGGAGGTAACCATTCCCTTCTCCAGGGGACGCCCCCGACCCAAGAATGGAACCTGGGTCTCCTGCGTGGCAGGCAGACTCTTTACTGTCTGAGTCAGCAGGCAACCCAGCCAGGAGCACATAACCTCAACCTGATCATGAGAAAAGAAACAAACGAAACGAAGTGAAAAAATAAGTGTTTAAAAGGTGGAGGAGGAGAAGTATTTTTCAAAACTATCTGTTATAAAACAAAGAGTGAAATCTAAAAACGCAACAAGATAGTGAAAAAAAAAAAACAAAAAAGAAACAGTCTTACAGATACAGAGAACAAACTGGTGGTTACCAGTGGGGGAAGGAAAAGATAATGGAGTAAGAATAAGAGGTACAAACTACTACATATAAAATAAATAACCTACAAGAATATACTGGATCACAGAGGGAATATAGCCAACATTTTATAGTAATTGTAAATAGGCTATAACCTTTAAAATTGTGAGTCACTATGTTTATACCTGTAACTTACAATATTGGACATTAACTATACTTCAACAACAACAAAAAGAAAATAAGAGAAGTTTTTTTAATAAAACAAAGGCTATGAACCTATTTTGGATTAAAGGAGGCTAAAGAGACATGACAGTTAAATGCATTACTTGATTCCTAGACTGGATCCTGGGCCAGAGGATGGGGGAGATGCTACTAGGCCATTACTGAATCAATTGACAAAAACGGAATATGAACCATAGACTAGATAAAGTATTGCGTCATTCTTAAATTTACTGAAACACATGTGTGTGCTATAATTGTATAAGCAAGTATCTAAATTCTTAGGAAACATGCATTGAAACATTTAGGGGCATTAGGCTAGGATATATGCAATATACGTTCCAATGGGTCAGAAGAAAATATGCAGGCATGTTTGCATTTAGAAAGTACAAGAGTGCAAAAAGGGAGAGAGAGGCTTCAGAATGAAGTTGAACATCTTTCCGGTCACTGGTTTCCAGAAGCTCACTGAAGTGGATGATGAACAAAAATTTTGTACCTTCTGTGAGAAGCTTACGGCCACAGAAGTTGCTGGTGAGGCTCTGGGTGAAGAATGGAAGGGCTATGTGGACCCAGTCAGTGCTGGGAATGATAAACAGGGTTTCCCCACGAAGCAAGGTGTCCTGACCCGTGGCTGAGTCTGCCTGCTACCGAGTAAGGGGAATTTCTGTTACAGACCAACGAGGACTGGAGAAAGAAAGTGCAAATCTGATGGGGTTGCATGGTGGATGCTAACCTGACTGTTCTCAATTAGGTCATTGTAAAAAAAGGGAAAAGGATATCCCTGGACTCCCTGATACGACTGTGCCTCATTGCCTGGGGACCAAAAGAGCTAGAAGAACGCGGAAACTTTCCAGTCTCTCCCAAGAAAATGAAGTCCGCCAGTGTGTTGTAAGAAAGCCCCTAAACAAAGAAGGGAAAGCACCGAGGACCAGAGCACTCGAGATTCATTGTCCCATTACTCCGCGTGTTCCGCAGCACAGACGTGGGTGTGCGGCTCCAAAGAAACAGTGTGCTGAGAAATAAAGGAAGAGGCTGCAGAATAGCCTAAGCTTCTGGCCAAGGGAATGAAGGAGGCCAGAGAAAAACACCGGCAACAGCTTGTCAAGAGACAGAGGCTGGGCTTCCCAGGTGGCTCAGTGGGAAGGAATCCACTTGCCAACACGGGAGACGCGGGTCCGGTCCCTGATCCAGGAAGACGCCACACGCTGGAGGACAACTAGGCCTGCGCACAGCTGCTGAGCCTGTGCTCGCGAGCCCGTGTTCCGCCACCACCGAGCCCACGGGCCGCAAGCACTGAGGCCTGCGTGCCCGAGAGCCCGAGCTCCACGAGGGCCGCCACCGCAACGGGAAGCCCGTGCACCCCAACTCGAGCAGCCCCTGCTCGCTGCGACTAGAGAAAAGCCGCACAGCATAGAAGACCCAGCACGGCCGAAAGTAAAATAAATAAAAATATTTGAAAAGAGAGAGAGAAAGAGATGGAGGCTGTCCTCCCTGAGAACGTTTACTTCTGAGTCTGAACCCAGTCAAAAATGAGATGGTCTAAGAGTCACAAATAAATAAGATCTGACATCAAAAACAAAGAAGAGAGAGAGAGAGAGACAGAAGCATAGAGGGTATAATGTTGACTATGTTGACTACGGGCAAATCTATGTGGGGAATATACTGACTTTATTTGTACTATTCTTATTCTTGCAACTTTTCTGTAGATTTGAAATTATTTCAAAATAGTTTATAAAAATCATCAGGGATGGATATACAGCTGTCACTCTTAGAAAAAGAATAAAGATACCCACAGGACAAAGCTACAAGTGCTGCGGTGCGCTAGGACCATCTATTAACATTTCAAAGAAGTGTGAGACGCAGACATGTGATCTGAGATTTCTTTCCGCTCCATTTCATGATTCTCTTGCCAGGGTTCAAAGTAAAGGTCGAAGGCTATTTATGTTTAGACTGGCTAATCAATTCCCATAGGAGAGTGGGTATGGATAAGGGAGTCTTATTTTAGTCATGGGAATTTCTCTTAGATCCTCAAATGTCACGAGCTGTGAAAACAAGAAGGTGAAGATATATACTCCTCTGTAAGAGCCTTGAAGCTGGCTGGCTGTGGCATTCTGAATCTATGATGCTTAGAATCAATTTCTAGCAATCAATTAGACTCTAAATTTCTACAAATAAGAAGTCTGAAAGGAGTACCATTTCTTTGTACAGTTGCACTGGTGAGATCGTATTCACAATATACAAATTCCACCCAGCTTCAGCTACAGGAGGTGTTTTGGGATTAACACTGGTACCTTTTCTAGAACTAAAAGCAAAACAAAGGACAAGAATTATAAAACAAGACATATTATTAATAAATGGCAATTTTAAATGGTAAATACCAGATACCTAAAATACTGTAACTATGACACCATTTTCATTTAGTATTTTCTTTGGTGCTTTAACTACACAGTAGATTTTGAGAGAACATCAGTGTACAACACCATGTTGGACGTACTACACAATGTTGTATGTACTACACTCCCGTGGACTGGTCCACAAGTATTCTTAAATGGGCAATAAGCTCAAAGAACAGGCAGGACCTCTCAGAAAGAGCAGAGACTTGGCTGTGAAAATCCCTGCAACCTGGTTCTCCCCAGCATGTGGCCTTCATGAGGCCAGGGCTGCTGGGAAAACATAAAACACAGAACTGTAAGTCAACTTAAAGCACTATCTTATTTCCTGCTTTCACTGTGTGAAGCATTTTCTGTAGTATGCAGTCTTTTCGGTTCTAATGAGGGGGATGAAACTGGAGCCTATTATACAGAGTGAAGTAAGCCTGAAAGAAAAACACCAATACAGTATCCTGGTGGGCTGCCGTCAATGGGGTCGCACAGAGTTGGACACAACTGAAGTGACTTAGCAGCAGCAACGCATATATGTGGAATTTAGAAAGATGGTAACGATAACCCTGTATGCGAGACAGCAAAAGAGACACAGATGTATTGAACAGTCTTTTGGACTCTGTGGGAGAGGGCAAGGGCGGGATGATATGGGAGAATGGCACTGAAACATGTATATTATCATATGTGAAACAAATCGCCAGTCCAGGTTGGATGCATGAGACAGGGTGCTCAGGGCTGGTGCACTGGGATGACCCAGAGGGATGGGATTGGGAGGGAGCTGGGAGGGGGGTTCAGGATGGCGAACACATGTACACCTGTGGCGGATTCAAGTCAATGTATGACAAAACCACTACAATATTGTAAAGTAAACTTAATTAATTAATAAAAAAATATAAAAAATAAAACACAAAGTTTTGGCCAAATGAATTTTCAAATAAATTAAATTTTTTAAACCAAATAAAAAATATAATACTTTTAAGACATAAAATGTATAAGATTACAAGTTATTTTTCCTCTTGCCAGAAAGCTTTTAGGATCAGTCAATTTTAGACCACTTTGTGCACACTCTGAGGACCAGTTACTCATGGAAACCTGGTTATTCCTGCTGGTGGAACAGAGCGCAGACACAAATAATTAAAAAATGCAAAACTACAGTGTTTGACTTGAAATATACTCTATGTTCCTCGCCCCCTGCCCCCAACAGATTTCTCTCCTACTTAAATTTTCCATAGAGGAATGTTCAAATTAGATTGCATTCCCCACCACTAAACTCACAGTATAGGAGACATGGACTAGAAGCATAACCACTTTGGAATTAACCATTTTATCCCAGACAACGTGAAAGCAGAAAACTGAAGTTAGAACTAACCTGAGCTTAGAAGAATGCACTTTTATCTTAAGGTAGCTTAACATATAATTTATACATCATGAATGTGTTTTTAGGTAAGAAATGCATTAGTTAATTTCTTTTCAAGTTGAAATACCAAAAAAAAAAAAAAAAAAACTCTGGATAAAAATATAGTCACTGAAAGGTCAAGGAAGAAAAATAACAAAGAGCCCTGTAGTTTGGATTAGCCTAAGAAGCTCGATCTCGCTCATTAATTACACAGAAAAACATGTCCTTTAAATTCTTGTACAATACCACAGATTTTTACTGAAACATTTTTATAATTTATTTTCTTCTAAAAGCTCACAGTCAATTACAAAGGATATTATAGAGAACATTAAAAGTTTCTTTTCTTACTCTGGAAAAAGAACACCTATAAAACCCATCTGATCATTTAAATTTTTGATTTATGAAAAGATTAGTGAAGATGTACACAAAATGTATCAGTAACACAATTCATTCCAGAAACCCTGGCAAGGATGTCTGGGGGTGATGGGCATGCTTACAGAAACCTCTTGGGTGACTCTCTTCTCTCCGGAACAGTTTCAGGGTCCGCCTTGGTCAGAAGTACAACGTGGTTTTTAAAATGACAGATGGCTTTCAAGCCTATGAAAAGCTGTATTCTTAAAGCACAGACATCCATACTGATAGGTGGGCAAGCCTAGTAAGGAAAAATTCACAAATTAAGCCAAGGAATGAAGTGCATGAACTTCAAAAACTTAAAAAATCAATCTATTGGATACAATCTCCCCTTTTCAGTCTCTCCCCGCTACTCAATCCAAATTCCTACTCTTATCAGAGCAAGAGGCTATCTTATCTAAACTATATAACCAACTAGCTCATTCATGTGCCCACCAAAGAGGTCCTCTGTCTGTGCTGACACTGACCTGATGAAAGCAGAGAGCCCCCCGGAGCCCTGCCCTGAGCCGGTTACTGCCACCCAGGAATTCCCCACTAACAGTGGGCTGGCTCAGGTGGTGCCTTTAAATGGGCTTTTAGTCAGAATCAGACACTATAAAAGGGCATTCTACTGCTCGTAAAATACACAGAAAGGTTTCTCAGTGGACGGGTGTGCAGAAGTGCAGGCACATTCAAATGGCCCGTGAGCTCTGCAGGTACGAACACCGCCTGGAATGGCTCACAGGCTGGAGTTTGCGAGGCCAACTGGAGGAAAGCCTGGCCCAGCAGACAGCCCCCTGCCCTTGAAGGAAACAGTCACCAAGCGGCACGGATAAGAAGCTAACCGAGGCGCTCTTCCTGGGACCCACAAAACGAGGCTGCCAGGTCTACCTGTCTCCTCCACTAGTGGGGTTTCGATTCCAAGGTCATCTTCCTTGTCCCTTTTGTACAAAGTGCCTGGGGACGACCCGCCATCTGTTTTTGTTGTTCCTATGAACAGTTAAGGTGGCCTTGGTGATGCTGAGCCAGAGTTTCAGGGGAAAGGGAAATAAAGATAGTGTGCATTATGGGCCTCTCTGAGGTTGTGAAACCTTCCTCAGACACCACAGCTTCCAAAGCCTGAGTCAGCAAGTGAGCAAAACGACAGTGTGCTCGTCCGGGGGCGTCTGGGATTTCAGGGTGCTGGAACTGCAGGGAAGGGGAGGCCAGGAGGGGTGAGCATCACTGTCCTTCCCTCTGCCACCTCCAGGGACCAGCCTCAGGGGCAGCGTCCGCTACTAGCTGCCCATCTCCCCTCTTTTCTCCCTTTCCCTCTTCTGTGCTTCTTCCTTCTGGTTTCATGAGACTGTGAGGCCTGGAGCTGAGATTTGTTTTCAAATGCAGACTGACGCTCCTCAATCTGTTAGGTACCCCTCACCCCACCATCACTACCTCCACAAGCCTCGGTCTTCCTGAAGTTTAAAATAAAACACAAGGCAAGATGGGGTGGAGAGAGAGGAGGCAAGAGACAAAGAGTCAGTCACCTTGCCTTGGGTACTAGGGACATAACCATTATTTTTAAAATAATCTCTTGAAAAGGCTATGTGTGTATCTTAAACCCAGACAGAAGGGCATGGGAAAGCTGGGATTCCAGCTTCCCAAGAGGCTGAAGGTAGGCAGTGAGCCTGTCAGCAGCAGAAGGTGACAGGCAGCCCACAGAAGAACAGAGAACTTGGATGTGATTTCCAGAAAAAGGCAGCACACAGTGTGGGCGACAGCGATGGTGGGGAAGTGTCTCAGACACATTAAGCACCATACACCAGCATCACCGGACACTCGGTCCTCCAAAAAGAGGTGTTCCGGGCGCCAGACGGACAATACTGAGTGAACAGAGGCCATCATGATGTGGGGGTTCCCTGAAGCGTGGATGTGTGTAACAAACACCCATCTCAGAGGTGAGATTGCACACGATGAACATGATGCAAATCATCAGTGTATTTCTGAGAACAGAAATTCAAGGGCAGAAAATAGAGAATTTCATCATAAAATTGTCTATTTGGCGGTCAAAAGCTTTTCAGAGACTAAGCAGATTACTTCTCACTAAAAACGAGATTACTGATCGAGAATATCAATTAACACTAGATCAAAACTATGGAAATACAGAACACTTGTTGCAGGCTTTGTAAACTGACAAAAGAATTATCAGTATATCCGATAATGGTGTAAATAAATCATCTGAATGCACTGCACTCACTTCTGTGCTCTTAGATATACAGATTTTTGAACTGTTTTAATAGCTCTATACAACTGCCACCAACACTTCTGATCAAAATGAATAAAACTGTCGTATACTATAGTTGTGATGTGCCCTCTCTGAAGTTACACTATACATATTCTTTACCGAATTTTAAAAACATGCATTATATCTAAATTCTGAATGACATGTTTTCAAAGTAACCTTAAAAATTACCATCTAAACCATGAACTGCAAAATGCTTACCATTTTACATCCCAAAGCTCTAACTGAACAAACAAGACTTTAATGTCCGCCCAGCTCAGACGCCAAGAGCGTGAGTTTGCAAGCACTCATGTTTGACCTTTAGGCTGCACGGTCATCAGCCAGCTCTGACCTTCAGGGTGGTGTCCACATACGGGTCCTCCTCCCTCGCGGCCGCCGCACTGCACCGCACCGTGTAACACTGCAGGTTGTTGCTGAGGAAGAGGAGAAAGGCCGCTGAGCAAAGCGGAGGCCAGGGACCAACATGCCCGCTGCTGGCAGGATGTCCCAGGAGCACACAGCAATGAGCGGGCTGGGGAACACCCCAGTACTCATCAAACGCTGACTAGTCAGGCTGCTTCTGAACAAGGAGATCACCTCAGAGACCCTATGGAGTGCTTTTTTTAAGCACGTAACTGGTCCCCACTGTGCCCCTACCGAATCACCATCTCTGGGGGCTGAATCTGTCTTGTGCTGAGTCACTCGGTCGCACAGACACTTTGCGACCCCATGAACCATAGCCCACCAGGCTCCTCTGTCCATGGGATTCTCCAGGCAAGAAAACTGGAGTGGGTTGCCATGCCCTCCTCCAGGGGATCTTCCCGACCCAGGTCTCCCGCTCTGTAAGTGGATTCCGTTCCGTCCGAGCCACCGAGGAAGCCCACGGGGGCTGAATCTAGACATGTATATTTCTACAAAGCCCCTGGTGTGACACACACTCCTAGTTAAGAACTATGGATCTGGGTCAATACCCTTATTTTATTTACAGAATGATGGCTCGGGGACCTGCCCAAAGTTCAGACAGGTGACAATCAAAGCCAAAGTTAGAACTAAGTTCCCTGATTATCATCATCTCAGGATGAAATGCAGCCTGGGTTGTGCTGGGCAACACGCTCAGATCAGGCAAACTCTCTGAAGGAATCTCCAGAATCATGCAGTCCAGCAGCTTGTTTTCAAAGACTATAGAGCCTGCAAAGTCCATGGTTGGTCCAAGTCCTCTTTGGAGAATGGAATCAAATAAGACCCAGGTCTCCTCATGTTTCACGATCCTCTTTTCACAACTCCAGGCTACATTCTGCACAGCAAAGCAACCTGGAGACTTCAGAGTAAGTGCCTGTGTCCAAAAACCTTGACAGGGTTCCTTCTGATATTCCCTAAGCACCTCAAACTCCAACACCTAAATCACACTTCTCTTCTGCCCCACACCACACCAGCCTCCATGCTTTCAGAAAGGCAGGCTCAGGGCTTCCCTGGGCAGCTGGTGATTGAGACTTCCACCTTTCAATGCAGGGGCTGCAGGTTCAATCCCTGGTCAGGGAGCTAAGATCTCACAAGCCTTGTAGCCAAAAAAAAAAAACCAAAACATAAACAGAAGCAATACTGTAACCAATTCAATAAAGACTTTAAAAATGATACACATACCCCTCCCCCGCAAAAAAAAGCAGGCTCAAAACTGATGGGTTTTCTCATGTCTCCTCCATCCCCAGTATCCCACCAGACGTCAAGTCCTGTCATCCTCTCCTGTCCTTGCTTCCTTCTCTTTTCACTGCTACTGCTATGCCCAAATACAACCCCTCACTATCCTCAGTGAACCATCCCCATAGCTCATTAGTATGTTCAAGCCATCCTCCACTGTGGCCACCATCCATTTTCCTAAAGTAATGCTCTATTCACATCCTTTTCTTTGATCAAAATCTAAAAAAATTCCTTAATTTCCAAAGCCCAAGTTCCCTCTCGGGCACTACTTTCCCCACTTTTCTCTGTTTCAGCAACTTTAAAGGACATTACTATACAAGCCTCTGGAAACTGAAAAGACCAAAGACCGCTCCCCTCTCCCCCGTGCCAGAGAGGAGGGGGAGAGGGGAGCACCCCCACCGGGAGTGGGTGTCAGAATCTCCTCCCGTAGCCTACGACACTTCCATGGAGCCTTAAGACATGTTCACAAATCTCCTAGGGTCTGTGCCCTTGTCCGTGCCTCGCATCCTCTTACGTTGCTGTCTGCATAAAGCAGAGGCTGTGCCTTATTCATGGTCGGCTGGCCGGAGGGCTCAATGCAGTGCCTTGCCTGGAACCTGAACTCAAAAAAACAGGAAATAAAACCACAAGCCTTACTTGCTGCTGAGATAAAAGGAAATGAGATTAAATTCAGGAACCCAGTTCACATGCCAGCTTACCAGGAGGATAAGGCAACTCAGAAGACCCACCAGCGATGGGCCACACGACCCGGACCAGCCCCGACCTCTGGACTCTCTCCCCATCTACACTACTCAGAGGGCGGAATCAGGCAGGCCTTCTGAACCCTTTACAGTCCTAAAGCATATCAATGAACTCGACTCACACAGAAAAGATGTGACAGCAGTGAAAAGAAAATTTAGGAACTCTAAAACTGAAGAGATGCCCTGACTGTTGTCAAGAGCCCCCACTGACTTTTCATTGGAATTCCCTGTGAACATCTTCCCTCATGGAGAACCTTACCCGTTCTCAGAAAGATCCCCATCCAGTTTAAGAAAACAAAACAAAGGCAAAACCAGAATTTAAACCTCTGATGTTGAAAAGGCCGTTATGAGCCATTATTTAAAACGAAATAAATAAATAAATAAACCCCAGGTGTATATCATTAATTCAGAGTGCTCTCCACTGGTTCACATAATTTCCATTTAAAGATTTAGGAAGTACCTCAGGAATTTACAGAGAAACAAGTGACTCAAAAGCCAGCAAGGGACTGGACGTACCTCGTGATGACATGCAGGAACTGGGGGGTAAGCACCGCCTGCTGAGATTTCTCGGGATATTGGTAGACTGACATTAATTCAACAGACTTGACAACCATGTACAGGTAGCCCACATGAGGTAATGAGAAAAAACAGAAGAGACTCAGCAACACTTTTTCCCGAGATGAATTTTTTCTATCAGAAGTAAGAGACCCTGTGTGCAAAAAAAACAACAAACCACAAAACCAGTAAAAAAAAGGAACCAATATTTTTACTTTTCTGTGCAAAAACATCTATAAACAGATAACCAAAGAGTTGCTAAGGTGCTTGTATAAGAATGCCAGTAAAAAAACGAAAAAAGTGATATAATTAGAATATCACCATTTTGAAACCCTTAGTAAATTAACAGATCTAGGTAATCATCATCAATAGTTGTTAACATCACAAAAAGAGCCAACCTGATACGACCTACTTCCAAGATAACTCAAGACTACTTGCATTACCAAAAAAAGAAAAAAAAAATGATCATCACCATTATCTGATCAAGTCTTTGACCAGCACTGTCAATAGAAATAAAATGTGGGCCATATATGTGATGCAAGGTTTTCTAGTAATTGCTCTCTAAAAAAATAAAAACGGGCAAGATTTTTAAAAATATATTAACCCAACATATCCAAAATATTATCATTTTGATACATAATCAATAAAAAATTAATGAGACAGTTTATATTCTTTTTTGTTGTACTAAGTCTTTAAGACCTAATATGAATTTTACACTTAAACCATATCTTAATTTAGACTAGTCACACTTCAAGGTGCTCAAATAGCAACACTGACAAATGGATACCATACTGAACAGTACAGCTTTAGATCACAGGGAAACACAGGGCATACAGGACCATATTAAATGACACTGCGGGGAGTCAGTCAGCAAAATTCAGATTGTGGGAAATTCTGCACTAACAGTCCAGTTTCCTGCTAACTAAACCACAAAGAGAAAAGAGAGAGGAAGGCAGAGCCTGTATAACAGAGAGACAAAAGACACAGGAGCCAAGTGCAGGTATAGAACCTCGCTTGGAATCTGATAAATTGCAGAGAAAAATATTTAGACAATCAGGGACATTTGAGTAACTGGTGGGGATTGGATGATATCAAGTCATTTCTTAAAAACGTGAAATGACATTTGGGGTTTTTGCTTAAATAAAAGAATCCCTTGCCTTTAGAAACATACGCTGAAATATTTATAAATGAAAAGGTATAAACTCTGGGATTTGCATCAAAACAATCTGACAGGGGGCAGGGGGTGATTACGAGGCAACACTGCTGAAGCGGTGTGATGGGGACCTCGGGGGCCACTGTACTATTTTTCTGTATCTGTGTGCCTGAAACTTTTCATAATCAGTGTTTTTTTAAAAAAAAAAATAGCTCTGATTGATGCCCTTCAAGGACACATTAATAACAGAAGAATGTATAAAAGAGATAACTAATGAGAACCTACAAAAAAATAAAGATGAAAATCCAATTACTACACTCTCCACAACTGGCATAAAACAACTGATCCAGTTTCTACTTCCTGTTCTTTCCTACACACATCTGTGCTCTAATCACAAAGAGAGCCGCTCACTTATCTCCAAACATACATGATGATCTTTCACCTTGCACATGTTGCTTTCCCTGAGGTAGTATCTTACCAGAATCTCCATCTTCTAAAAAAAAAAAAAAAAATTTTTTTTTTTCACCTTTTAAAACTTTTACGCATCCATCAGGGACCAGCTCACATGGGCACTGCCCAATGCCGCATCCGTCCACTGAGTAAACATCCATCAGGCACCTACAACATAGCACTGCTCTGGGTTCCGGGGGTACCCCAGTGCGCAGGGCAGCGTAACTGCACTCATTCTGGTGAGGGGGACTGGGGCGGAGAATGAACGCTGCCCTGTGCGGGGAGGGAGCGGCTTCAACTGAGAAGTCTGGGAAGTCCTCTGCGGCGAGGAGCTACTCGCCAGCGGAAGACACCAGTCTTGCCAGCTCTGAGGGAAGTACTCTGCTCTGAGCACTGGAAGAGTAACCAGTAGATCTTAGACCAGACTGAGCCTGGTGTAACCTAGAAGCAGAGAAAAGCCACGTGGCTGGACAAATGTAAGAGGCTGAGCGGGACAAAAAGAGCTCGGGGTCAGGGTGATGCAGGCCATGGAGAGGATCTGGGTTTTGTTCCGGTGCTGCAGGAGACCCTGGAGGAGCCAGCCCCACGGTGGCCGCGGGCCCTCTGGTCTCCTGCCTCAGGAGACCCTGGAGGAGAGCCGGCCCCACGGGGGCTGCGGGCCCTCTGGTCTCCTGCCTCGCAGGAGACCCTGGGGGAGAGCCAGCCCCACGGGGGCTGCGGGCCCTCTGGTCTCCTGCCTCAGGAGACCCTGGAGGAGAGGCGGCCCCCACGGGGGCTGTGGGCCCTCTGGTCTCCTGCCTCAGGAGACCCTGGAGGAGAGGCGGCCCCCTAAGGTGGNCCTCTGGTCTCCTGCCTCAGGAGACCCTGGAGGAGAGGTGGCCCCCACGGGGGCTGCGGGCCCTCTGGTCTCCTGCCTCAGGAGACCCTGGAGGAGGGCCAGCCCACGGTGGCTGCGGGCCCTCTGGTCTCCTGCAAGGCAGGAGACCCTGGAGGAGGGCCGGCCCCCACGGTGGCTGCAGGCCCTCTGGTCTCCTGCCTTGTTACACCTCCCTCTCCCAGGCTTCTTTCAGTTCCTCACGCAAAGACGCTCCACTGGCCACAACCAAGCCTGCCCACCCATCAGCCCCATTCACTCTTCGGGTCCTCTTTCTCAGGAAGCCTTCCCCGACCCCCAGTGAGGTTCAGGATCCTTTGTTACACATCTCAGGGCAGGATTCTTCTCTCACAGGGCACTCCCACCAGTGTGTAATTGTACACGCCTTCTAATGTTCATTCCACTCACGCCTGCTTCCTCCCACAAGACAGTAAGCTCCATGAGTGCAAGGACTTTGCCTACTTTTGCTCATTACAGGAGCCCTAGTATTCAGCACAAGACCCAACATAGTAGATACTCAATACACATTCACTACAAAAAAGAAAAAAAAAATACATGCATAAGTTTAATCAGAGTAACATTTATACCTTTCCCTAGCCAACACCTAAAGATGTAAAGCAGGCCAGCACTAAATATAGAATTCAATAATGATTCTTAATCTGGGTTGCCCAGGAGGTTTAAAAAATACTGATGCCCTGGGACTTTCCTGGTGGTCCAGTGGTTAAGACTCTGTGCTTCCACTGCAGGGGGCACAGGTTCGATCCCTAGTCAGGGAACTAAGATCCCACATGCCATACAATGGGATTTAAAATTTAATTTTAAATTAAACTATCTTTTAAAAAGTTAAAAAAATATATATATACTGATGCTCAGGCATCAGTTGACCAATTAAGTCAGAATCTCCAGCATGGGGAGTTCCCTGGCCATCCAGTGGTTAAGACTCTGGCCATCCAGTGGTTAAGACTCTATGCTCCCAGGGAAGGGGGCATAGGTTTGACCCCGGACTGGGGAACTAAGATTCCCATGTGCTGCACAGCATGGCCCAGTATGTTGAGTCTGAGCATCAGTTTTTTAAAAAGCATCCAAGGAAGGCCAATGTGCACAGAGGCTAAAAACCACTGCTCTTAAGTGAACTTCCATCCAGCCCACATTTTCCCATCTGGCTCACAAGGCCATCATTAGCAGCTCTGGCAAATGACCCAGCTGGAACCCAGATGAACCTCAGCTGTAACAGGGCCCTGATTTTCCTTCGGGGGCCTACTGACCATTTCAAAAAGAGAAATGGGTTTTGTCAGTCATCTCCTCTCCATGGCTTCTCCCAGCAGACATGATTTCCATCTTGTGGGCTCACTGTTACTTGCTAAGGAATCCGTCTGAGGCCACAGGGAAACCCAGAAAAGCCTAACCTGTTGCTAACATCGGACTCCCCGCTCCGCCTGGTGCCTTCCAGCTCACTGCACTGCAGCACTCTCATACTTACCTGTTTGGAAAATGGGTAGAAGCTGGAGTGAGTGCAACCTGACGTCATCAGACAAGAGACACGAAGAAATATCAGGAGCGAAACGCCTGCGAATTTAAAGAGAGACAGAGGAGAGGAGATCTAATCTCCATTGCGTTAAGCAGGTAAAGATACAGTAACTGCTGGTGAATAAAAAGCCATCTAGTACCTATAAAGCAGGTGCCGAACATGGAAATATTTTATTTTTTCATCAGCTAATCCTGTTGACTCCAATGTAACAGATATTCCCGACTGTTTGCTTTTTTCACCAAGAAGTTCCATGGGCTTTTGGCAGATAACAAAATCATCTGACTCAAGCTGTGAAGTGTCATTACTGGTGTCTTAAAAAATAAAATTGAAGAAAATTATGTAGTAACTCCAAGTAATTTTCAAATGTCAATTAGATTTCACCACATCCCTCTACCAATTATAGTATTTATACACACACATCTCATGTATTTATAAGGCACCATGGTTTTGAAATGTCTTAGCACTTAATCATTCTTTCCTCACAACTGACAAAGTAAAACAGGACATGATCATCATCCCCACTTTATACATAAGGAAACAGAAACTCAGAGATGGTGTTCCTAACCCAAGGTCATTCAATTAGCAAATATGAGGACTGGAACTAGAAACTGCTCCTCTAGCAGTAGATGTTTCATTATTTTCAATGACAAATATATGTTGAAATACATTTATATGCTACAGAATACATCACATGCTACAGGATAAGACATGGACAGCCAGATCAAAAACCCAAGTCCCACGTATTAGGAACATCTATGTGTGTGAAAGTCACTCAGTCATGTCCAACCCTTCGCGACCCTGTGGACTGTAGCCTGACACGCTCCTCTGTCCATGGAATTCTCCAGGCCAGAATACTGGATGGGGTTGCCATTTCTTTCTCCAGGGATCTTCCCAACCGAGGGATTGAACCCAGGTCACCCACATTGCAGGTGGATTCTTTACCGTCTGAGCTGTCAGGGAAGCAACCACATCATAAATAATGTGGCTTGGCAATATACATACTGGAGCCTTTCAGAGATTGACAAAAATAAGGGTTTTTCTCTATACCCCAAACAAGAAAGTAAGCTAAATTCATTATTTACCTTCTGCCTGTTTCATGGGATTGGTGGTCTTACGTGGATGGTGGTTAACACTCTCTCTGTTTTTGGGGTCTGACTCCAGTTTTACAATTAAGACTTCTAATTCTGACATGACAGCGACATATCCAACACAAAAAGAAATTTCGGCAGGGGTGATGTTATCTATGTGGATAACTAAAGAACGTTCAAAGTCCAAAATTGAGAATTCTTCATTAATGATCTGATACTTCAAACTAAATAAGACTAGATTATTGCTGCAGCCAACAAGAAGGTCTCCTTTCACAGGGCAGCAGGAAATGCAAAGGGGGGCCTCAGAAAGCGGCATTTCCACAATAGACATCTGGTCTCTGAAGGTTTCGCTGAAGGGTGCTTCCACGTCATGTCCGACCATCCGGATACACACTCGGGAGTTTTCAGTCCTTTTACTTCTCCAGTTTACATAAGCACGCAGGAACGTAGCTTTGTTTTTCTCTTCAATTGCTACCAAATAATCTCCTGAGAAGGAAATAAGATTACACTTAGAATTTCTCATTAGAAACCACAACTTACCTTGCATCATGAAAAGGAACTAAAACAGAATCCTAATGTGAATGGTTGAATTAAAGATGGACTAGAACAAAAAGCTCCAACACTTTGGCCTCTTGATATGAAAAGCCGACTCACTGGAAAAGACCCTGATGCTGGGCAAGCCTGAGGCAGGAGAAGAAGGGGGAAACTGAGGATGAGACGGTTGGATGGCATCATAGATTCAATGGACACGAGTTTCAGCAAACTCCGGGAGATGGTGAAGGACAGGGAAGCCTGGTGTGCTGCAATCCATGTAGCTGCAGAGCCAGACACGACGTGGTGACCAAACGACAGAACAGAACTCTAAGTAACAGGATCTCAGGTGTGTTTTTAATGGACAACAGGCATTTAGGTTCTGAAATACAATCTATCCCCATTTTACTCTCTTATTTAGTTGCTAAGTCGTGCCCAACTCCTTCGCGACCTCACAGACTGTGCCCTACTAGGCTCCTCCGTCCATGGGATTTCCCAGACAAGAATACTAGAGACGATTGCCATTTTCTTCTTCAGGGGATCTTCCCCACCCAGGTATCGAATCTACGTCTCCTGCATTGCAGGGGCATTCTTTACCACTGAGCCACCTGGGAAGCAGTTAATATCTTAAGAAGACCTATTAAATATTCATGTAGCTTACAGAGAAAGTCTATGATTTATTTCTACGGTAGCTCTACATGTTATTATAGCTCTGAATCTGGAACTCTAACAAAGTTCTCCTGACATAAAGTGTTTGATATTAGAGTGATGCTAAAATTAGGTATAAGGAACTCTGAAGAGATCAGTGGAACATACACTGCTACCTCTCCCCTCCCCACAAGTCATATTTTCATGTCAACTCTGAGAAATAGCATAAAGCCACACATATCGAGTGAAAGTTCAATCCAAGTCAGTTTTCCCTTAACTGTTGATTTTCTTGGATTTTCTAAATTACAAAGTAATTTTCGAATTGTTGTTTGTTATGAGAAGTCAAAGTGATGAAGAGATATAAAATGAAAAGCAGAATGATCTTTCCCCTGCAGTCCAATCCATGAGGAGCCACTGTTAACACACACAGCTTGGTATGTGTCCTTCTAAACCTTTCTTTCATAGAAACATAGATCACAGAGTGGTGGTTTGTCACTCTTGCTTTTAACAAAATGGAACATATTAAATATATTTAACAATCTGCAATTTAAAAAAGTACCTGAAGAGGGAGGGGACATATGTATAATTATGGCTGATTTGCATTGTTATACGGCAGAAAGCAACACGACATTGTAAAAATTTAAAAAACAAACAATAATAAAAAATAGTAAAACGATTTTTAAAAATTACCAATTTATTACCAAGATTTCCACTATATTTTTCCCTCCAGGGACGATACATGGATATCTAATGTCCTTTTCATATACGTGCAAAATATCCTGTATACACCTGTGTCAGAATTTATTCAGCAGTCCACCTGCCGATATACTACATTTAAGTACTGGGCTGACCAAAAACTTTGTTCGGGTTTTTCTGTACCGTCTTACAGAAATACCCGAGCGACCTTTTTGGCCAACCCCAAATTTCCAGCTTTTTTGTTTTTGCCACTATAGTCTATGCTGTAATAAATAGGCCTATACCTATATATTTATTTGAAAGTGAAAGTCGCTCAGTCATGTCTGACTCTTTGTGACCCCATGGACTATACTATAAAGTCCATGGAATTCTCCAGGCCAGAATACTGGAGTGGGTAGCCTTTCCCTTCTCCAGCGGATCATCCCAACCCAGGGATGGAACCCAGGTCTCCTTCACTGCAGGCAGATTTTTTACCAGCTGAGCCTCAAGGGAAGCCCAAGAATACTGGAGTGTTAATTTCAATGTTGTAGATTTTCAAAAGTAAGACTATCAGTCAAAGGGTCAGTACATCTTTAAATTTAATAGATATTGCCAGATTATAATCACAATTGCATATTACAGATGCAGATTGCCACCAGCACTATTTAAACAGGCCTGTTCCCCCACATCCTCACCAGCACTGATTCAATATGATGGAGGAAACAGGACTCTCATGGATATAAATATCATTCATATTTTCCAGACCACTTATAAAGCTGTTATATGTTTATGCAGCCATGAACAGTTTCTCTGCTACAAGTTATCCACTTTTTTTTTTATTATTATATATTGGTTTGTTTTTCTTATCAAGTAATAGCTGCTCTCTGGGTAAAAAGGATATTAATCCTTTGCCGGCCATGAAAAGCAAATCACTTTTGGTAGTCTGTAGTTTGACTTTGCTAAGGTCTGACTTTGTATGACATCTTTTACCATATGGAACCAGATACGTATCTTTTCCGTCTTGGCTTCTGTGTTTCCTGACTTGTTTAAACAGTCTCTTGTGTCTGTCAAATTACATAAACACACTCTTACATATTCTATTTGGGGGGGGGGTGTAAGTTAAATTTTTAATCTTTAGAACTTTCTGGGTTGGAGGGGAGAAGTCACGGTTCTCTCAAATAGAGAACTCACTAAATGCTAGACATTATTATGTAAACAAGCCATTCATTCTCCAATGAACTGACACTGAAATGCTGTGGTTAGCACAACTGATTCCCACATACAGATGCAGCAAGCAAGTGGGGGCAGCCCTTTTCTGTAGACACTCAGTGGGCTGGCCAGGCGCCCTCTCCTCTGGGACTGAGCCAGGCTTCAAGACAGGCAAACCTTCTCCTGATGCTGGTTGCTCTGAGGCCACAGACTGGAATCCTGCATCTGTTTTCTCCCCAGAGATCCTGATGGCTGTTTAGTCACTAAGTCGTGTCCGACCCTTTTGAGATCCCGTGGATGGCAGTCCACCGTGCTCCTCTGTCCACGGGATTTTTCCAGGCAAGAATACTGGAGTGGATAGCCATTTTCTTCTTCAAGAAATCTAGGTGGAATACCTAACTATACCTTGTGGGTTGCATACACTGGCTCACGCTGATCTAGAGAAGGTCTGATGGGGTTGAGAACCATGTGGCCTCTGTCTTCCTTAAACTCTCTCAGTAAACACATTAAACAAAAAAGTTTTTATTGTGGTAAAATACACATAACACAAAATTGACCACTTTCACTATTTTTAAGTGTACAATTCACGGCATTAGATACATTCACATTGTTATGCAGCCATTACCACCATCTTGAAAACTTTGTCATCTTCCCCCAAACTCTGAATCCACTAACAATAACTCCCCATTCCAACCCTCTGTACATATATGTCTTTTACTATTTACATAATACAATAAAGCACCAATGCTGAAGAGCATGAGTTATGTGCAAATACATAAATATGAATTATTTGTACACATCTGCAGATCTAGCTCAGAACTAAGGTACATAAAATTGAAAGCAAAACTAAATGTGTGTAGAGTAAAAGTGAAAACCAGAACTGAACATCAGAAGTACTGCTTCGTGAACACAGACTCTGGCAACCACCATCCACTTGTCTCTATGAATCTGACTATTCTAAGGTGCCTCATAAGTAGAATCATACAATGCTTGTCCTTTAGTTTATTTCACTTAGTGTATTAGGTTTATTCACTTAGTGTAATGTCTTCAAAGTTCGTTTGTGCTGTACACGTATCAGAGTCTCATCCCTTTTAAGGCTGTATGGATACACTGCATTTGGTTTATCTGTCGAATACCTGGGCTGCTTCCACCTCTCGGCTCTAGTGAAAAACGCTACGTATACTGGTGTACAAATGTGTGCCCAGGCCCCTGCTTTCAGTTAATCCATGTGTACACCCAAAAGTGAAACTCCTGGAGAAGGGAATGGCTACCCACTCCAGTGTTCTGGCCTTGAGAACTCCACGGACTGAGGAGCCTGGCAGGCTACATACAGTCCACGGGGTTGCCAAGAGTAAGACACACCTGAGCGACTTTCAGATGTGGAAATTCTATGAATTTTTTCAGGAACCATTGTACTGTTTTCTACAGCAGCTCTATCATTTTACTCTTCCACTAGGAATGTACAGAGGTTCCAATTTCTCCACAACCTCATCAACACTTATTATTTCTATTTGTTTTGATAATGACCATCCTAATGGGTATGAAATGGTATCTCTTTGTGATTTTAATTTGCGTTTCTATGATGATTAGTGATGTTGAGCATCTTCTCCTGCACTTGTTGGCAACTTAGATAAATATCTATTCAAACTCGGCCAATTTTCAAATTGGGTTGTTTTGTTGTTTGCTGAGTTGTAAGAGTTCTTCTGAATACTAATCCCTCATTGGGTATATGCTTTGCAAATATTTCTCCCCTTTTCTGTAGACTGCTTTTTCAAATCAGTTGATAGTGTCCTTGGATGCACAAAATTTTTTAATTTTGATGACAGCCAATTTTTCCATTTTTTCTTTGTTGTCAATGCTTTGGTGTCATATTCAAGTTACTAGTTACTTAATGAACTTTAAGAATCTGCAAAGCATTTATAGTAAACAGAAATTGCTGATCTAAGATTCATTTTGTTTTTATTGGGGTGAGAGTAGGGGAGACACTGGGCGTAGAGCAGGAATCCCCAAGTCCAAGCCAGGGTTAGTGGGAGGAAAGAGGCCAAAAGGAAAAAGCTGAGATGTGTTAGAGGAGCTATCTGGATATCAGCATATCTAGCAGTCCTCTACCTACAATTTGAAAGAAGCTGCAGCCAAGCATTAAGTTCAAGCTGAAAGTTACCCTAGAGCTATCTGACTTATGCTAACATCATACCACATGACTTCCTAACTTTTTTTAAGACAGTCAACAGAATTACAAAAGCATCTTTGTTAACTTCAAGGCATCAGTACCACCATGCTACTCACTGCCTACGGCAGTCAGTATGGCTCTAGATCAGCGATTCTCAATCCTGACTGAACAGGAGACTCACCCAATGCTGGGCCACACCCCCAGGTAACTGTTACTGCTTCTCTGAGATCCAGGAATCTTTTTAAGCTACCCTAGATGATTTTTAAACACCAGTAGAGGCATCAAAGGATTCCCCAGAATCACCACTACTGACAGGCAAGAAAGTTACAGGTTCATAGAGTGCCGGTCACTTACAATTCTATATTAAATGTCCATTTGGAAGAATGGGGCCAATCATGTAAATAGTGGTTATCTGCCCCCCATCAGCACACACACACATACTAATGTTTAAACTGGTGAGCTTGTCACTCAATAGAGCTCTTGAAGGTAAGAATTCATAGGTCTAAAAAGGAGGTGAGGAAAACTACTAATCTTGTGAAATGATTAGGAGAGCAATATTAAAAATACCAAAATCAGAGCTGTCTGTTGACAGAGAATTTACAGATCTAATAAGTGTTTTTCAAACTGGTCTGCAGACCTGAAGGCCCCTATTGATGTCTAAACTATTCAAAAAGAAAAAGTAGTAACAATATCATAAATTGTTCATAAAGCAAAGACATCCAAAGTTTGGAGCTAGGTGTTTTTATATAAATAATAGACAGTAAATAATAGGGCTTTACCTTTTTTTTAACATGTATCTTTACTTGACAAAATGAACAGTCAGATACTGCGTACAGTAGCCCTGCAGTTTTTTTTGCTGATCCACAAAATTCCAAGGTCTGGAAATCACTGATCTAGTTTTCCACTTAAAAAAAAAAAACAAACAAACACAAACGGAGACCCAAAAGTTTCTATAAACTCACACACAGTCAGTTGTGGACAGAGTTTAGACAGAGCCCTACAATCCTCCAGGTTCATGCTCTTCACTTTATTAGTAAATACCTCAGTCACAGGTTTTTCCATCTTAAATACTGCAATTTATTGAAAAGCAGAATTCAAATTTTAAATGTATTATTAGACAATTAAAAGAATTCTATGGTGAATTCTTCTGCAAACTGAAGTACCTATTTCTACCTATTTGCATCTTTTGCCGGGGTTGGAGGGGAGGGCTTGCACTTGGCATGCAGGATCTTGGTTCCCCAACAGGGATCAATCCACGCCCTGTGCAGTGGAAGTGAAGAGTCTTAACCACTAGACCACCAGGAAAGTCCCAAAGTGCCTATTTTTAAATTTGGATATTTCTAAAATAGGGATATGCCCACTCAGTATCCCCTTGGCACTGCCTCACATTTCTAGGGGAAAAGGAGTAGTGGATGCTACTTTTCTGGGGGGAAAGGGGCCTAAGACCCGAGTTCTACTTACACTGATTTAAAAATCAGCAGGTCTTGTGAGCTTTCAAAACTCGACAGGAAACAGATTAAGGACAGGCCGTGAGTTGGCATAAGGGTTGCAGACGGGATTAACCAGGGGGTTCAGGATACCACTCTCCCTACTTTTGTATGTACTTGTTTGCTATAATAAAAGAGTCTCACTTGGTTCGTTTTGGTTTCAAGTGTCTGAGTTGACCCAACCAAGGGCCTTTCCAGCGAGGACGCCAGAAGAGCAAAAACCACCAGCATTTCCTCGGCCCACCAGAGGCCTGCTCTCACCTGTGGTTGCCAGGACAACTGCACAGCTCTCACCTTCCATCAGCCGCCAGACCGGGCGAGACCACCCTACAAGCAGGAAGTCTTCCCTACCCAGAGCTGCTGGCGGCACTCAGTCCTCTAAGGAGGCCCCAACGCTGGGGTGAGGCGCCCCTTCCCCCGCCCCTGCTTACCGGCTTCGCTGTAGGCCAGGCGCAGCACTCTGCCCAGCGTGGAGAAGACACACCTCGGCTGGCACAGCTCCTGGCCGACCACGGTGAACGCCTCCACCTTGCAGCCAGCCGCCACGAATAGCGTATCGCGTCCCCCGCCGCAGAAGCGCTCGGGCTCCAGCTTGCAGGGCACCACCTGCTGCGAGCCAAACGGGTGCAGGTTGTATAACTGTACCATCCTGGCGACCGGCTGCGGGCCGCCCGGCGGTGCCCGCTCCGGCCAGCCAGCCCCGCCGGGCCCTGGGAGACCCCGCGCCAGCCGTGCGGGCTGGACCACTTCCGCGAGCGATTGCAACGAGCCGAGTCACGTGAGCACCAGGCCGACCAGCCTGCGGCGCCGATTCTTAAAGAGGCAGCTACACCGTGAGGGTGGAGCCGGAGGTGAGGACGCGCCCGCCCGCGGCCGCGCCTCGCTGGATCTCGGACTGCGTGCTGGATCTCGGAAGCAGTATGTCTTTCCCTTAATCTTTTCATGATACTGGTTTGGGCCGGGCGAGATGTTTAGGCCCTTGAGGCCGTTTAAACACTTGATCATCTGTGTACCCTTGTCTGCTTGCCGCAGCCTGTGAGCTTCGGAAGAACAGGGCTGCACAAACTGAAGTGGAGTGCACACAGGTCAACTTCGGGCTAAACCGAAGAGTTGTTTGGAAGCACTGGATATCTCAGAATGGGTTAGTTGGAAAGGGGAACTCCTAGAACGTGCTTGGCAAAATAAATATTTGCTGAAGACGCGTGGATGTCATCTAATGAACTCCAGATATTTGAAAAAGATTAGTTTGAGCCCAAAGGATAGAAGGACTAAGGATGGATCCCATTGGTTCTCACTCCAATTTGCCCAAGGCTCATTTCAGTTTAGTTCAGTCACTCAGTCGTGTCTGACTCTTTGCGACCCCATGTACTGCAACACGCCAGGCCTCCCTGTCCATCTCCAACTCCTGGAGTTTACTCAAACTCATGTCCATTGAGTTGGTGATGCCATACAACCATCTCATCCTCTGTCGTCCCCTTCTCCTCCAACCCCCAATCTTTCCCAGTACCAGGGTCTTTCCGTGAGTCAGTTCTTCGCATCAGGTGGCCAAAGTATTGGAGTTTCAGGTTCAGCATCAGTCCTTCCAATGAATGTTCAGGACTGATTTCCTTGAGGATGGACTGGTTGGATCTCTTTGCAGTCCAAGGAGTTGTCTCCAACACCACAGTTCAAAAGCATCAATTCTTCAGTGCTCTGCTTTCTTTATGGTCCAACTCCATACATGACCGCTGGAAAAACCATAGCCTTGACTAGATGGACCTTCGTTGGCAAAGTAATGTCTCTGCTTTTTAACATGCTGTCTAGGTTGGTCATAACTTTCCTTCCAAGGAGCAAGTGTCTTTTGATTTCATGGCTGCAGTCACCATCTGCAGTGATTTTGGAGCCCCCAAAAATAAAGTGTGACACTGCTTCCACTGTTTCCCCATCTATTTGCCATGACGTGATGGGACCAGATGCCATGATCTTAGTTTTCTGAATGTTAACTTTTCAGCCAACTTTTTCACTCTCCTCTTTCACTTTCATCAAGAGGCTCTTTAGTTCTTCTTCACTTTCTGCCAGAAGGGTGGTGTCATCTATGTATCTGAGGGTATTGATATTTCTCCTAGCAATCTTGATTCCAGCTTGTGCTTATCCAGCCCAGCGTTTCTCATGATGTACTCTGCATATAAGTTAAATAAGCAGGGTGACAATATGCAGCCTTGATGCACTCCTTTCCGTATTTGGAACCAGTCTGTTGTTCCATGTCCAGTTCTAACCGTTGCTTCCTGACCTGCATACAGATTTTTCAAGAGGCAGGTCAGGTGGTCTGGTATTCCCATCTCTTGAAGAATTTTCCACAGTTTGTTGTGATCCACACAGTCAAAGGCTTTGGCGTAGTCAGTAAAGCAGAAGTAAATGTTTTTGTGGAACTCTTGCTTTTTCGATGATCCAATGGGTGTTGGCAATTTGATCTCTGGTTCCTCTGTCTTTTCTAAAACCAACTGGAACATCTGGAAGTTCACGGTTCACGAACTGTTGAAACCTGGCTTGGAGAATTTTGAGCATTACTTTGCTAGAGTGTGAGATGAATGCAATTGTGAGGTAGTCTGAGCATTCTTCGGCATTTCCTTTCTTTGGGATTGGAATGAAAGCTGACCTTTTCCAGTCCTGTGGCCACTGCTGAATTTTCCAAATTTGTTGGCATATTGAGTGCAGCACTTTCATAGCATCATCTTTCAGGATTGGAAATAGCTCAACTGGAATTCCATCACCTCCACTAGCTTTGTTTGTAGTGATGCTTCCTAAGACCCACTCAACTTCACACTCCAAGACGTCTGGCTTTAGGTGAGTGATCATACCATTGTGATTATCTGGGTCATGAAGATGTTTTTTTATAGTTCTTCTGTGTATCCTGTCTAATCTGTATTCTGTATCTATTCCTGACATCTCAGTGTGGAGCTCGTGGTTGCAAATTCTCAGTAAAAAACAACAACACAGTTTAGATGAAGCAGGTATTGGAGGTACTCTTTCCAATTCATCCAGAAAAAAAAAAAAATCTAAGTATGGACTGAGGGATGCTGTCTGTCTTTTGGCACACAGGGACAGGACTGAAAAGAAAAAGCAAGATTTCTTTTGTCACCCTCATGATCTTTTTTCTTCTAAGAATTTACAAATTAGGTGCAATTGGACTAAAATGAATTAAATTCTACCTCCATTTCCTAAACCCTCTTGATGAATAAAACTGTCCTCAGTATAAACTCTGCTTCACCCAACTACTAGGGACTCGGTGAGGTAACAGTTCACCAAACTCAGTGAGACCGGGACATGAACAAGGAGTTTTGCTCTGGTCAGCCAGCTGGGGCTAGAAACTCATGGGAGGCTTTGATAAAAAATAATCAGCCTAACATAGCCCACAACTCATTCTTTTAGATACAACACTCATGCACACACCTTCGCAAATATTTGTCTTATGATACTCTTTTGATTTTCTCCTGTAAGGCTGAAAATGACAATTTCAGTGCTAAATTAAAGTTTTGAGACTAAAATTACAATTTTATTGTAAGTTCACCTACATTAAAATGTTTACTTAGGGGAGGGGACATATGTATACTTATGGCTGATTTATGCCGATGTATGACAGAAACCAATACGATATTGTAAAGCAATTATCCTTCAGTTAAAAATAAATATTTAAAAAATGTTTATTTTGGGTAAAGTGTGAAATTTGCTCAAAGCCTGGAACTCCAGTCCCTTCCAGAGATAGCCACTTCTCCCTTACACCTGTGTCTGGCTCATCTAAGATTCTTAGAGATCAGACATGCTAACAAAGGAAGGTGGCAGGGTGCCTGGTTTCGACATTTGTCCATAGCTCTAAACAAGAGCTGCCTATTTGCCCTCCTGTAACAAATGCAGAGACGTTAGTGGGCGTGCTATCATGTCCGTGTTCGAGGCTAGGTTAGTCTGCTGGGGCAGTCATAACAGAATCACCACAGAATGAATGGCTTAACAACAAAAATTTTTTTTTCACAATTCTGGAGGCCTGAAGTCCAGGGTCAAGGTTTCCACAGTACTGGTTTCTCTGAAGGTCTCTCTCAACTTAGAGATGGCCACTGTCTTAATCCATTTGGGCTGTGATAACAAAATACCACAGATTGGGTAGCTTATAACAACAGAAATTTCTCACAGTTCTGGAGGCTGGGGAAGTCCAAGATCAAGGTACCAGCATGAATGGGTGAGAGTCCTCTTCGGTTTGCAGACTGCTGACTCCTTGCTCTGTAGTCTCTAGCTGGAAAGGGCTAGGGAGCACTGTAGGATATCTTTTGTAAGAGCACTAATCAGAATCTGCAACCCACTCTCCAGAAATCTTGTCTGGAGAATTCCATGGACAGAGGAGCCTGGCAGGCTACAGTTCATGGGGTTGTAAAGAGTCAGACAGGACTGAGCAGCTAACAGCTTATAGGATTTCTGTATGTTGCTCAGCATCATTAGTCTTTAGAGAAATACACAACAAAACCACCATTAGAGACCATGACACATTTATTATAGACTAAAATTAAAAGGATTCATCATTACAAGCATTGATGAGGATATGGAGAAATTGGTGTGGGTGTCAGACAGTAAAATAGCTTTTGAAACAGTTTGGCAGTCTCTTAGAAAGTTGAACGTGTGCCTACCATATGATCCAACCATTCTACTCCAAGGTGTTTACCCAAAAGGACTGAAGGCATATATGCTTAAAATCACTTGTATACACATTTTCATACACATATTAACATTATATGTAATAGTAAAAGCCTGGAAAAAAACAATTATCCATCATCAGATAAATCAGTTCATTTCAGTCTTTCGGTTATGTCTGACTCTTTGCGACCCCATGGACTGCAACACTCCAGGCTTCCCTGTCCATCACCAACTCCCACAGCTTGCTCAAACTCATGTCCATTAAGTAACTTATGCCATCCAACCATCTCATCCTCTGTCGTCCCCTTCTCCTCCTGCCTTCAGTCTTTCCCAGCATCAGGAGCTTTTCCAATGAGTTAGTTCATTGTATCAAGTGGCCATAGTTAAGCATCAGCATCAATCCTTCTAATGAATATTCAGGGTTGATTTCCCTTAGGATTGACTGGTTTGATCGCCTTGCTGTCCAAGGGATTCTCAAGAGTATTCTGCAACACCACAGTTCAAAAGCATCAATTCTTCAGAGTTCAGCTTTCTTTATAGTCCAAGTCTCACATCCATACATGACTACTGGAAAAAACCATAGCTTTAACTAGATGGGCCTTTGTCAGCAAAGTAATGTCTCTGCTTTTTAATATGCTGTATACGTTGGTCATAGCTTTTCCTGCAAGGAGCAAAAGCATCTTTTAATTTCATGGCTGCAGTCACCACTTGCAATGATTTTGGAGCCCAAGAAAATAAAGTCTGTCACTGTTTCCATTGTTTCCCCATCTATTTGCCATGAAGTGATGGGACTGGATGCCATGATCTTAGTTTTTTGAATGTTGAGTTTTAAACCAGCTTTTTCACTCTCCTCTTTTACTTTCATCAAGAGGCTCTTCAGTTCCTCTTCGCTTTCTGCCATAAGGATGGTGTCATCTGCATATCTGAGGTTATTGATATTTCTCCTGGCAATCTTGATTCCAGCTTGTGCTTTATCCAGGCCAACATTTCACATGATGAAGCATCACT